GTGGGTCAAGGTCATTAATTTGAACAAATTTGGTAGCCCTTCATCCCAGTATAATACACATAATATCAGTACCCTGCGCTTATTGAGAAGAAGTCGTTTGAAGATTTTAAGACATTTGACCCCTGTGACCTTGAAAGTAGGTCAAAGTCATTCATTTGAACAAACTTGGTAGCCCTTTATCCCAGCATGCTACTGGCCAAATATCATCACCCTAGACCTTTTGGTTATTGAGACGAATTGTTTAAAGTAAAATATTGACGCCGGACGACGGACGGACGGACACCGGGCCAGGTGAGCTAAAAATGTGGATATTTTCTGAAGATCCTTTTTGTCATCAGCCAGGTTCTGTTGATATGTTTACCGAGAGATCTCTTCAAAAAGAGCAGCATTAAACCGATACGTAAACGTTTACATTTGTTTTTATCATCTAAATCAGCTTTTTAATTTCAGCTTGGTGAGAATATAAACGAAATTATTAACACTTTCTTTGTGCATTACCACTCATTAAAGAAACAATGAATAATGCGTTTATGTCAAATCAACAATAATTTTGCAGACAACCAACCCGAGTTCAAAGCCTTTTTTCACAACGCGTACCGATTTATAACTAATTACAGACAGAAACTGTTTAATTTTCTTTGGCATCATTACCTGTTAAACCTCGGTGATAGTTACAAAATTTGACATTCAATCCGGTGTTTCATGGTGGAACAGGAATTGAGACTACATATCGATATAACGACAATCTCAGTTACATCAAAGTATTACAATGTGTTCTTTTGTGGTCAAATATGTAATAAGCACTTTTTTCTAAACTCAGCTCAATTTTTTTTTTTTGGGCCTGGGGACTGGGATTGAATCCGGCCATCTTGGTGAAGACGAGTGCACTATCCACTGCGCCATTAACCCGTCATATGATTTACGCACACGAACAAATATCTACTTTAGCTTTGACTGGAAGAAAACGGCGTCATTGATGCAAAAGTTATATTGTGAATACATTTTATCAATCATCAATGATACAAAAAATTGTGTATGAAATAGTGCATATATGTATATTAATTAAGTCTGACATCTTGTACTATTGTAAATATGTGCTTGTAATTTGCTGGGAAAGGGCTTAATATAAGTTTAATAACTTGTGCCCAATCCATTTGCTTGGCAATTAGATATGTTTAAACTAAACAAACAAATCAACATACGGGAGACCGGGGCAAGCTCGGCCACCCCTGATAATTTTGTTTTTGAGCTATTATTTACATTAAGGATCTTAGCAGTTTAGTAGAAAGAAAATCATTATCTCGCTCATGCCAATGATACCGTGGCAAGTTCGGCCCATGTAACACATAACAGTCATAAAATTGGCGGTAAAATCTGACGTTGCATGCTTTATGACGTCATAATTAAGCTGATTTCAATGGGGGTCGAACTTACCCAAATGCCTGTCTGAACTTGACCCAGGGCGGGGCTCGTTCGGCCATCCGATCATCTGACAGGAAAAGTTAAATAATGTTCAAAAACAGACGTGCTGCCATATTTTCCCAGAACGGACTTAAATAAAAATGGGCCGAACTTGGCTCGGTCTCCCCTATTGTTATGTCGGTCTTAATCTCGTTAGACCTTGTGTTTTATTGTTATTCCTCGACTTGCCGACTTTAAATAAAGTTTATCCTATCTGAAAATCTCATTCTGAAAGCAGTATTCTGAATCAGTAAATATAACAGACCAACAAAAGCTACGCTCTTTTAAGGCTTTGCCTTTTCATATTACAGAATTGAGTCCCCTTGACCTAAGGATGCTCCAAACTAAATTTAGTCCAAATCTACTGGGCGGTTCGGGACAAGTAGCGTTTTAAAGGAAAAGTTGACTGACGGACGGACGGACGAAGATCACCTGCCCGAAGGGCAAGTTAAAAATGTTCTATAAAATGATACCAAAGAATCAGGAAATACGGCGACAATTATGCTTACATCGTGACCAGAACAAGGCTACGATTTTTAACCGATTTTTTTTCCTGGGGCCGCTTACATCATCTTTTAGCGAAGTGTTGATTCGCCTATTGAGCTGATATGGCAGGGAGGATTTCAACCTGGAGCTGATATATTATATGAGTGGAATTTTGGCGTTTACTGTCTTGTAAAAGTTTTCATGTGCAAATGGCAATGTTCGCAATGAATGGGTGTAAGAATGTACGTCATCAATTACGATATTCTAAACACGTGTGACGTCGAAATAAGACCATATTTGACAGAATTGAAAATTTGAAATGACAACTTGTAATGTATGATACATAATCGCATACTCACTACATTTCTAGGCAGAAAATTACATAGTCTTATAACTATGATTTCATGTGATTCATAAGGAGGCGCGGTAGTCTAGTGGTAGGACGCCGGGATCGTGACCGAAGGGTTGCGAGTTCGAGGCACGGCACGGCACGGCACTGTATTGTATCCTTGAGCACAATACTTTACTCCGCTTGTTCCAGTCTACTCAGCCGTAGATGAGTACGTTGTTGGGCAGTGCTAGAATCGTAGAATGCTAGCTGTGAGCGCCGAAATGGCAGCACCAGCTGCATGCTCGCCATGGAGTTGAGAACGATATTGGTTGGTTGCAAACGCCCTATAACCACGGATAATAATGTGTTAACCGTTTTAAGACGACCTACGAAGTATGTTGTGATAAAGCTTTATATAAGAACCTCGAATTATCATTATTTATTATTATTATAAAACACTGTTTTACTTACAGGTCCATCGAAAACCCAACGACAAAGGACTGGCAATGATCCAGACCAGGGACAGTCAAGCGGTGAGTAGTACCATATGTGTATCATAATGTTTGTTTTATTGAATACCAAATACATTTCCGAAGTAAGGACAGACAAACGGACATCATGGGCACCCACATAGGCACGTTGTCATGTGTAAACTTGTACAGAACAGTTGTTTCAAGATCTATGTCACAATTTGATGGATATCTGAAGGATAACAAGTAAAGATTTTCACTGTACATGTCGGTACCATAGAGTTAGATATCAGTAGTTTATGAGAGCGTATTAACTGCAACGAATGACAATTTTAAACAAGCAAAGGTCTATAAGCACTACAGTTGGCCTCGGCCTTTTATAGGGGATAGGTGGAGGAGGAGGAGTCAATAAGATTTAGGAGGAGCAGGAAAAGCAGCACAGATGCAGCAAATAGCTCAATGTGAAAGTGATTTTTATTTTATTATACCGAGTGTCATGTTTAGGTGTTTCAGCACTTCACCATTTTTAAAGGTTCTTGTGTTGATTTGACATAAACCAAGACTTCATCTCAACAGTTGTCGAATGAACCAACCATGAATGTGATTTGATAACACCCTGGCACTGGGACGAACCGTGCACGCTACGTTTGGCGCATGTGATATTTTTTGGAATGTCACCCTGTCTTATTTATCTTTGTAAAACGAGCAAGTAACATTGAAAATGTTCACATCTTTCTCAACCAATCAGATTACGAGATTTTAACAGAAGGTATAATAAAGATGTATACACCTTAACTGACAGCGAGATGATGGCGCTCTACAGGTAAAGAGACGCTCGACTGGTTTTCACTATTTTTCTCAAAAGCTGTCTGTTGTGTGTACAACTTCAACACCCTGGTCCCTCAGCTCACTACGATATCATAATATGGACAAAACCGTCTGTTCTTAAAATAACGCCGAAACAGGTCACCGGTGATGTCATAGGGAAGGATATGGCATCGTAAGGTGCAACCTCCCCTTTTATCTAACCGAGACTATCGCAAGTTTGAACATGTTTTTATCTATTTTTATCTAAAGGAATGTGTGGAGGGGATCTATCTAAAGGAATGATGCAAGTTTGGACATGTCATCTTCAATGTAGATGTATATACATGGAAAAAAACCTACACCAGACTAAAAATAACCTGGTCCATCACGTCAGTGAGGGATCCCTATATATACCTATTGGAGGGACCCTATATGTACTGGAAAACCCGAAACCGCCCTAAAGATAACATGGTCCCTCATCCCTCACTGGTCCCCCCGTCAGGGAGGGATTTACTATAAATGTAGAGTGAGGGACGGATTTTATGCAGAACCCTTTGAGAGGGAATTCTTATGAAAGGTCATGGGGTCAGTCCCTCATCCCTCACAAGGTCATGGGGTCAGTCCCTCATCCCTCACTGGTCCCTCACTGATCCATCCCGCCAGGGAGGGATTTACTATAAATATGGAGGGAGGGATAAAGTGGCGTAGAACCCCCATTTCCTATTCATCACATATTGTTGTTTTCTTCCCTCCTACAGAAAAAAATATAAATGAGATAATACCATGCTAGATGCAGTATTATATTTGTTTTAAATGTCTCACTTATTTAGAGAAAAAAATCTCACTTTTTTTTACCACAACTCACTAAAATTTCAACTGATCTCACTATTGTGCAACGAAAAATTATAACATGTTATGCCACTACACACCTTTATTAGTGTTAGAAAATGATTTAATTATATATTATAAAAAATCTATTTTATTAGAAAAATATGCTTACTATATGAATATAAGAACATTAATTAAGAATTTTAAACATATTTCTAATGTTATTTAGGACCTAATCTCACTATGGCTTGCCATGGTAATCCCAGATTTTTTCATTTTCGCTTTCAGTTCTAAAAAGTTATAGTGAAACTACTTTTTTTTTCTTAAATGGCTTCCATCCTACGTATTATCTCATTTATGTTATGTAAATCGTTTAATTACGGTTTTAAAATTTGACGGCAGAACGTGATAGCCGGACAAAACACCACGAAAGCATTGTTAGCGTTCAGGGAAGCTTTGGGTAATACCAACCAATGACGTCATGATTAAACATACGTGACAATGCAACAGACAACAAAGATAGCGTTTATAGTGGATTTAATCATAAGATATCGTTTGTCTTGATTAAATATATACAAACTACGAATCCGTTTACATATCTTATCATATCTACTTACCTGTTGATGATTTTACACCTTTGTTTTGATAATCTTCAGGCTTTTATGCTCGTCCGCTCAACAAGTCTTCACCACACTGAATTCGTCAGAAAAAGGAAGTATATTAGGTACTAGGTCGGCTATGACGTCCTTAAATCATGTATATTCATTAGATGCATTCGACCCTTACGTAATCTAATTTTAGCATGTCTTTGTCGCAGATTCAATAAAGTCTATAGTCTATTTAAAAAAAAAACCTCTAAAGTCTTGACAAAGGAACATTTTCGGTGACATATTTTCTCAAGATCTTGTCTTACATTTCATACTGGACTCTTAATTTTCTAACCTGCCTGTTAAATAGTTTTTTTAAACGGGGTGTCTTTCATACCACGTACATTTATACCACAGGGACCTGGGCATTTGTTACAGCTATATAGTTGGACCTAAACTAAGGTGTTCAGAGTAATATTATATGTTTTAGGGATTTATATCAACTTTCGGTAAAAAGGACACCCACTGTTTCGTATCTATAATCATTGGGGTGTCATTTATTTGTCTTAGTTTAGGTCCAAACATAGCTGTACGGTCACTGTGACAGCAACATCAACATGAGAAACGATTCTCTGAAAAGTCTGGAACAGATAAGTCATAAGATAGGGCCTAATGTAAGTCGATCCAAACCGGTGTAACACTCTGAAAATGACCCCCACCCTATGATTAAATAATATATATAAATATTGAGGTGTCAGTTGTACCGAAAGTCGAACTAAACCCTTAAAACATGTATGCTGCTCACATATGTGTCTAGTTAGGGAGAAAGACGTAGGAGTAAGATAATACATAATACTGACAGAAAATCAACCAGATCACAGAAAAGGATTATATCTATCCCTTAGCTCATTCACCCCTGAAATTTCATAATGAACTATTCCGTCCATTGAAGTGGAAGAGTTCAAATGTGTCTTCAGGTAGGGGCGTAGCTAGGCCCATCGATATGTGTAAGCTATCTATCTATCTATCTATATATTCTTCATCACCCTCTTTCGAGTATTATGTGCAGCGTGCGCGTCTGTGCAGGTTAAAAGGTATTGTGTGGTGACCGAGATAGAAATGATAAAGTGCGGACTGGTGCATGCATAAGGGAGAGGGAGAGGAAAGAAAAGTGTGATGAGAGAGTATTTGGTGCTAAGAAATGTCTATAAGTTTAGACCTGCTACTGCCCATACAAGGGCATATTTTATGGAACCTCTACGGATGTTGATAGCTCCTGTTGTACAAAATAGCGGATCTATTATGGACTTTGAGTCGGGGTGTGAGGGAGGGGGGGGGGGGATAATAATAGGTTGAAGATTGTTTACCTAATATACAGTAACATACACTCCAACTGAGCTGTATTTGGAAAGAGTTCTGATTCGGTGTTGGTCAAATCAACTCTGGACACCGTTAGGAACTCTTTCCAATACAGAGCCAGAAATAGTGTATTCGGGTAGGTGAACTATGATGACAGGGGACGGGGGTGAGGGGGACGGGGGAGGGTGAAGTTAAAAATATGCTGACATAGTCTATGGCCTAACAAAGGGAGTATCACTGATTGCCTTCTTGAAGGTGTCAAGTGATGGACTGCTGCAAGCTCCTAACGGGAGGGCGTTCCATTGGACTATGGTTAGGGGGAAGAAAGAGTATTTGTAAAAGTCCTTATTGGTAGGGATTTGCCGAAAAGATAGGGGGTGGGCATCTCTTGATAGTCTCGTTGGGTGGACTACATATGGTGGCATTTGGATTGCTACTGTCTGGTAGACTATTTTATAAAATAAACACAGTCTGCTTTTGGATCTTCTGTGTGCTAATGTTTGCCAACCCAGACTCCCTAACATGTCTGTTACACTGTCCAGAGGGGAAACATTTCCAGACACCCACCTAGCTGCTCTGCGCTGGACCATTTCTAGTTGTTTACTTTATTCTTGGGTGTATGGGTCCCAGACACAGGCAGAATATTCTAATTTAGGGCGAACCAGTGCCGTGTACGCTGCAGCCTTTACCTGTTTGTCTTTCACCTTGATGTTTCTTTTTATATATCCTAAAGTTCTGTTGGCTTGGCTACTTACATTTCGGATGTGTTTATTCCAGGTCAGGTTTGATGATATGGTGACACCAAGGTATTTTGCATGTGGAATAGTTTCAAGTACTTGTCCGTGTAGCATATACTCTGTGGGTAGATGCGTCTTTGACCTGGATATGTGTATTACCTGGCATTTGCTCGGGTTAAATTCCATATCCCACTGTTTTTCCCATAACTGTAATCTGTCAAGGTCTTTTTGGAGTCTGTATGCATCTTGTAGTTTACTTACCGCTAGGTAGATGGCAGTGTCGTCTGCGAAGAGACGCACTGTTGATGTTATATTTAGTGGCAAGTCATTGATATAAATTAAAAAAAAATTGGGCCGAGGACCGAGCCCTGGGGTACACCTGATGTTACCGGGACTTTTGATGAAGTAGCTCCCTCCAAGACAACTTGCTGTATTCTGCCTGTAAGAAAGCCTCTGATCCATTTGAGAGTTAGGTGCTGTATCCCGTATTGATGAAGTTTGAATAAAAGTTTTTCGTGGTTTACCTTATCAAAAGATTTACTAAAATCGAGTAAAATTAAATCTGTTTGCTTACCTGTTTGTAGGTTTTTGAAAAGATCCTTCATAAGCATGACTAGTTGGGTTTCACAACTACGTTTTTCTCTAAAACCGTGCTGGAGTTCAAACAATATTATTTGTGTCAAGATGTCTTACCAGGTTTGATGTTACAATATGCTCCATGACCTTGCACAAAATACAGGTAAGTGAAATGGGGCGATAGTTCAAAGCTCTATTTTTCTCACCTTTCTTGAATAATGGAGCGACGTATGCCGAGGTCCAAAGGGATGGGAGCTCATCGGTTTGGTATGATCGAAATAATACCTGTAAAATGGGTGCCAGTTCACTATGGAGTTCTTTAAGAACTATTGGTTTGATGGCGTCAGGACCGGCCGCTTTATTGGGATTAAGTTTATAAAGAAGTTGGTCAATACCCGGAACTGAGAAAGTAATGTTTGACATTGGTAGGTACTTACCTTTTTGGTCTTGGGTGGGAATTCCTTGGTCAATGGTTTGTTGTTGACAAAGTTGTTAAAGGCTGAGAGGCGATTTGGGTGTAAAGACCGACTGAAATTGTTCATTTAGGATATTTGCTTTATCTATATTGTCAGTATACAACAGGCCATCTCGTTTAAGGGGTCCTATACGTTTGGGGTCTTGTCGACTGTTTTTCAAAAAGCTGAACAATTTCTTTGTTTAATCAGATTTTTGCTCACCTGGTGCTTGTTCGTTTGGTGTTATGATTCCCAGGAGTTCTTCTAAATACCTGTTATGGGATTCTTTAATAATCTTTTGTACCAGGTGTTTGTAGTGCAGGAAGTGTTCCCTGTCTCTTACCTTTTTTGACTTTTTGTGTTTATAATACAGGCTGTCTCTTTTCCTGATGTGACGTCTAATGTTTTGAGTCATCCAGGGAATGGATTGCTTCGTACCAATTGTTTTTGTTGGAATTGATTCTGAAATGGCTTTATTTATTTTTATAAATTCTTGCCATAGAGTTTCAGTGGACTTACCGTGGTGATTTTCGGTGAAAGTTTTTCCGAATGTACACATTTGTACATCAACCTGTCTTGGTTTTTGTTTTTGGGATTTAGAATAGAGACTTACTTCTATATACACTGCATCATGATCTGATAGACCTGGCATATTGGTAACTCGACTAACAAGTGTCGGGTTGTTTGTAAGGAATAAATCCAGAATGTTTTCTTCCCTTGTGGGTTTACTCACCATTTGTACTAAGTTGTTGTCATCCAGCATGCTTATGAAGTCTTGGTATATGTGTTGGGCTAGTTGGTCATCCTTTAGAGTGGGAAACGAGTTTTCCCAAGTACATTTAGGTTAGTTGAAATCACCTGTAACCCATATATTTAAGTTCTTCTTTATCAAGGCAATTGATTTCCGCACTCACTTTGTCATGCTCATTTGTTTACATTTAAAACTTTTATTTTACCAGGTTTTCTGGGCTTGTTTTCTTCATTGCCTTTGGGCTTATTTTTTATGGGGGTTGATGTCATTTCTGGCTCGAGATTATCATTACTCTCTTCCTCTTCCAGTGAGTTAAACAAGTTAGAGGAGGACAGGGATGACAGGGGTGTTTCAAATAACACGTTTGAATAATTTGGGGAACCACAATGCAAGCAGACCCATGAGATACTATCATGATTTGATAAGATATTATACGTATCTGAACCAATATTTTGACAGTTTGTGTGATACCAAGTTTCACATTCATCACATAGTACACCTTCTTGGTAATATGTGACAGGATCACTACATGTCCCGCATGGGAAATGTGTGGACGACGATGGCCCTGAAGGTCCTGGGTTTACCTCAATGTCTGAGGACATAGATAGGAGTAACATTGCAAGGTAACAAAGTTTTACCTTTCTCGTCGTGTTGACTGTACATGCCTTAGCTTTGCAAAGTCTGGTTATACTGACACACTGGACGACTCGACACGGCGCCTTGTGTAGATTGTTTACACCCAGTCCGGTTGGTGTGGGAGTGCCGTACGGCGGGAATGGGGAGACATCTGAATGGGGGTGTACGTGAAACACACTGTACATACATAATGACAAAGCAAAAGCACTTCCCAGTCCTTCGAACATTGTGATGTTGAATTTTTGTTAGTTTCCGTGTGTAAACAGGAAGTAGGTCTGACACATGGCGGGAAATTCAACGAGATTCAGCTTGGTAAAAAAAAATCTGTTCCAATATGAGTGTAACGAATAAGATGGTGTCTAGTAACCCTTATATACCATAATTTCACAGATCAATGAAATATAAAATGCTTTAAAACAGTGCAGAAGTTTGGTGGGCAGAGAGAAAGAAAGAAGACATGTTATGCACGACGCATGGGGGATCTCAGGGGAGCGAAGCCCCCCGAAGGAAAATGGCTTTTAAGATATGATGAAGCATTCAAATTGTTATCCGAGACAGTTTTTTAAAGAAATATTTTAGTGTCAAATGCGCTGAAATGAAGAACA